TATACATATATGGACATGTAATTTATAAGAAGTATAACAGAGTTTAAATAAAAGTATTTGGTAAGAAAAGAGTTTGTAAAACATTTTGAAGTAAAGTAGTTTGATAAACAGTTTGAACAGTGATAAAATCATTGGTTCTATAGTTATTAATCACAAGTGATTGATGTAATAACTATAAGTATTTAACTTGTATTCCCCCCATAAAAGTATTTAAAATATTGAAAAGTATTTCAAAGGTTAATTAAAGGGGTATGAACTCACTTGTGGTGAGTGGATTGGGTTGAAGTATCGGATACCGTGCTAGGTGGCAAACGGAGACTTGTACACACGCACGAGCCTAGTTATCATATAACAAACATATGTATAACTAGTTAGCCTTATTATAACTAATAATATGAGTTGGGACACTCTAGAACCTGAAAACACTTTGTTTCAAGTGTTAAAGTTCACAAGGTTTGCATCCGAGTGCTAGTAGGGCATAACTAGGGTGTTTGGGGTCCAAGGGTAAACTCCTTGGGAGTTTACGGTCTAAATGACCATTGCCCTTGGAGTTTACGGCAGTAAACTCTAGGGTTTACAGTCCAAACTCCAAATATTGTAATCCATGAGTTGTTTTGGAGTTTAACAAGTCCATAGAAGTAACCTTGCTAAGTGGTTTAGCTCTTCGAATGGATTAAGACCACAAAACACCCTCCTTGAGGTGTTTACGGCCTAAGGGTATTTTCCCTTGGGTTTACTACCGTAAACCCTTATGGGAAGTGGTATTTCCATTGTTTTAAGTCATTAACACCACTAGGTAAAAGTCTAGGTTAGTTTTTAGGGCTAAGTAAGGAATATGACCCATTTAAACAACCTTTTGGGTGTTTACGGCCTTGAGATATCCTTAGGCCGTAAAAACCTTAATTTTGTGGTGGTTGATGTTTTAAAATGCTTAAACATATCAATGGAAGGTTCAAATATGTTAAGGTAAGTCTAGGGCTTCAAACTAGGGCTTAAAATGGGACTTAAGCCAAATTTGAGGGACTTTATGGTGTTTGCGGTCCAAGCATCTTCTTCGACTGTGAACACCTCAATCATGGTGTTCTTGGCTGATTTCCTTGGTGTTTGTTTGATATACTAGCTTACAAGCACTTAAGGATGAGAGTACTTACTACAATGGTGCTTGATTCGAGCTAAAAGGGCCAAGAACACTTAGTGTGTGTTCTTGGTGTTTTGGAAAATCTAAACAAAAACTGGAAATGAATGGATGAATAGATGCACAAACACTAGATTAAGTGTTTTACTAACTTGAAATGGTTAGAACACTTACAAGATCGGAGGTTTGGAATTAAATGTTGGATGATAGTTGAAAGAGTTTATGGGAGTTTACTCTTTTCACTATTTGGGGAGTAAACACAATGACTAGTTTATTGGGGAGTAAACTCATACATAGGCATGAGTTTACGGTTTTTGGGTGATTCCTAAACCCAAAACATAAAAGTTTATTCCGGTGATTCTAGTACGCGAGGTGTTTGCGGTTTTTCAAAATAAAAACCCGAGACGACACTTTCTTTCACCCGTTCATTTAAAAAAAATAATAAAATAATTAAACGAACTTTATATTTCTTAAAAATAAGAAATAATGATATTAAATCACGATACAAAGTGGTTGACTTTTAGGGTTTGACCAACAGAAATTTCGGGTTGTCACAACATAGGGCGTCTAGTAAGTGTTGAGCCCTCAAGCCATCTCTCCCGCTAGAAGTTCCTTTAGGAAGGATTTGATGCAACCAAATACACAGTCAAAGTCTGCTACAAGGGGAGGTTTGGAAATTATGGGGCTCGACATGGATGGGGGTGGTCTGAAAGGGTGTTTGTCCTCCAAAAGTTTTAATAGTATCACCATTATATGGTGCAACACCCGATGAGCATAACACTTTCACTGCTGCGGTAAAATGACCATATGCAACCTTACGAAGACACTATCTGATGTTGGTGTTACTTGATGTAGCCTCCTTCTTAAGGATACCTCCACCCTGTCTCATAGTTCCAACCTCAGGATTGTCTAAAATATTTTGAACTAACTTTGTGATACCACCCTCTTTCCCCCATGTATCCAAGGACTTCAGGATGGAGCTTTCTTGTAAAGATTTTCTATTCCCAAACCTACTGTAACGCCCTATTTCTGGGCTAAAAGCATTAATAATGGTGTAATAGTCTAGGTCAACCTTTGTAACTCATTTTAAAATAATAAAGAGGAATTATGTGAATATTATGTGAATTATATGTTTATTTACTTAATTATTACGATTTAATAAGTTAAGAATAAAAATAAGCGTCGAAAATAAACGTTAAAAAAATAAAAAGATTATTTAAGATAAATAATCTTAACGAAAATTGTAACGATAGAAAATCTCAAATTATATAAGATGTATTTGGTCTAAGTACATTCAAGAGTAAACCCAGGTAGTAAAACGGTATTTTATGTTACACTCGTTTTTCGATGATATATTTTACGATGTTAGTTATCAATTATTAAATTTAGATAGTCGTAAAATAATATTTATTAATTATTCAGTGATATTTGGATATAAGAATAATACTAATTTGATTTTATATTATATATTTGTAAGTTATGATTCTTACAAACTATGTGTGTGTGTGTGTGTGTGTGTGTGTGTGTATATATATATATATATATATATATATATATATAAAAGATCAACTTATGTAATTGTAACGAATAGACATTTTATGTGATATTACTCTAAACAATTATTTATAAATATTTTACATCCAAATAAAAATAAATAGAGAAACCCCTTAAATAACGTGTACATGGATAATTGGCCAATATGAGAGATATATTAAAATAAAAAGTAATGACACATGTACCATGTAGATAAAGGAATGCAGTTTCTAGGTGATATGTGTCCATCAAATTAAGATATATATACCCTCCAATTGATTATTAATGGTATACGTGTAATTTAGATGAATGACCACCATTTGAGAATTGTATGGAGCCTTTCAAGAGTCGGTTTATATTTTATTTTAAATAGGAGAATCATCTTTAAGTTTTGATTGTACCATATAATTGTTATTTTAGAGAAAATAAAGCCAGTGTTTTAAAGAGAATAGATTATCATGGAAATTATTCAACTACTCCGTAAGTCAGAAATATACATCCATCGTCTTATCAAGTGAGTACATAGTTACTTTCATCTTACACATAGATATGAAGTATTTAATATAAAATACGTGTTATGTGTATATATGTTGTTTGTTTATTTGCGACGATGTTGAATGATGTTTTATACATGTTTAAAATGATTTAAAATGTATATATATTTTATCTACAAATATATTGGGTATAACATGGGTAGATGAAATAAGTTGATGTGTGTGAAAATGATGAGAGGCCTCGATGTTGTTGTTTTTCCAGTCATCTAGCGGAATATGCATGACGATCATGGACTCTTCTAGACAGTCCAGTGGAACGCTAGTAGGCTCACAACCTGTAGGTGTTTGTGGGCTTGATGTTCACCAGTGTACTCCATCCCCCTCATGGTTGCCTTATGGACATATATGGCTGAGGAATCCCCTTAGCAGTAAAGTCCATCCTGATGATAAAATCCTTAGACTAGGTCCCTTGTATAGGTGTTTAGGGACGTAAAATGAGGATAACTGGAATTGGTAATCAGGGTTATTGTTGGTTTGATGAAATTAATAAATTTATTAATGATAGATGAAATTAATAAATTTATTATTATTCGTGGGTTGAAAACCATATATGCTCACTAGGTTCCCAAGCCTGACCCACTCAGCTTTCTGTTTTACAGGTAGTGGACCCAGAGCATAATTTGGATGATGATGAGGGATTTTCGGATTATAGGCTAGTAGTTGTAAATAACTGTTGTAAGACTTTTAATGTACTGTCTATGCTTTTGATCTGTATCGAACATGACATCCCGAGTCTTTTTAATGAAATACATTTCTATGGAAATGCTTTGATAAATGTTTAATATATTTTTACTTTGGGAACAAATTCCGCAAACACTTTTATGTAAAATATTACTCTGATTTTCAAACAAGCATAAACAAAATAGGTCTTTTCTGGCCGTGAAATTGGGGATGTCACAATTGATATCAGAGCATTAGTTTAAATGAACTAGGAATTTGTAGGATTTCTAGACTTAAACATAGAATGCTAAGTGATGATTGTGAGATGAGTATCTACCATATTTAAGACACGAGCACTAGTATATTTTAGGAAAGTTGCCAAAAATGCTTTTATGTGCTAAATACTATATGATTACCATATATGGCATTAATTGTTCGGATCTATGGTCTGTTGCCGACCGGATCTGGAAACCTTATGTGTGTAGGCACTACAAGAAAAAGACCCTTTTACGACGCGCAAACCACGAAACTCATTGATTTATGTTACGTAATGGAGAGTGACATTAAAAGAGTGTCATCTCTTAAAAAAATTTATTGATTTAGGTCACGCATTATTGTGTGCCTTTAAATTAATGTCTTATGTAAAAAAAGAAAAAAAAATGGAGGGCACTTGTGCGTCCTCTGTGAATGTCATTTTATATTTTTTTAAGAAACGCGCCTCTCTTCCTAGAGGGAAAATGAAATCCCTAAACATTTTAAACCCCGCTTTCTTCTCCTACATTTCTTTTTGATCTGTTCTCTGATATCTCCTCTCCTTCGTCTCCACCCCTCACCCCACCTCCACTACCTCCCACCCACACCGACTCTTCAGGCCTGCACGACGACGATGTACTGGCCTTCTTGATCAACACTTCATCCATCATCACCATTGGTAGCTCTCTCACCCCATCCTCACTGTTAAACCTTGCAAAATCCTGATATAATATTCCGACGACAATCACATTTTGATGAACACTTAATAGGTGGCGTCTCCGGTGGAAATAAAAGGTGAAATTGAAAACTCCTTATAATTAAGAGAGAGAGAGAGAGAGAGAGAGAGAGAGAGAGAATAAATAAAAATGGGAATCGAAGCCGGGGAGTCCTCTGGTGCTGGATGTCTCGAGACGAGCAGTCGTAGAGAAGATGTCGGTCTAGCTACCACCCCAACCAGTACCTCCAACTATCTACGCCAGCGGTACCTGTTCAAGGTCGTATCAGAATACAACTTTCGCCCTAAATTCAAATGAGAGCAGCACAGAAGGATGACCAGTATACTTCTTTCGCCCTAAATTCAAAGTTAGGGCTATATTTATTATGTTGTATAGTAGTTGCACTTCGATTGGATCACATATAAACAAGAGGATCAGAATACAACTGCTAAATTGAATACTTTGATGTTCAATTCAATGAAGGCGATACCTGTTCAAGGTCGTATCTATCAAGAGAAAGAATCACCACAATTTATCGCTATTTTCCAACCGATGGTTCTTTTCAAGGTACGATCGTAAAACATTCATTTGATTTGTGAATCAAATCTCTTTTCTTCTGTTATGGAATTTGACGATGAGTCCACAGTAGCTGAAAATATGGATGTTAAAAGAAAATCAAACTAAGATTTAAGTCTTTGAGGTTTTTTATGAATCATAATGTTTTCATGGATATTCCATCAAGGCAGATGAGTCCACAGTAGCTGAAAAGCAACCATATAAGGAAACCCCATTTTTGACCTCCTTCAGGGAACTGATTTAATGATGATGTAAAAAGAATCTTTTCATCAAAACTTTTCACTTAAACTAATAGTTGAAGGAAGTAAAAAGATTATATGTACACAGTCTCTTGCACTACTGAACCATAGAGATTCTTCAATTGCAGATGTAAAAGATAGTAAGGTAAGTGTTGATGGTTTGTGTATGAAGAATCAAGCATCTACCAAAAGTATCTTGAAAAAATTCAATGATTTTGATCCCAATAATGAGATACTTATGAGTTTAATGAAAGAAATTAGAGCTGAAATGATGGCTTCAAAGTTGAGTGCTTCTGAGTCTGTGACTTCAATTAGAGCTGAAAGTATGATTTTATTTCTTACTGATACTTGGTTTCTTAATTAACTTGATGCATCTCTTATTAGCAGAGTAACATTAGGCTTTATAAACCCTATTCTGGGATGCCTTGCTCACAAATATCATGTAACAAAATTTAGCACTTGTGGGACATTTCTCATATCAGGTTATTACATGAAAGAAAGTCATGCTTTAAGTTATTCATCAATATGGAAAATATTTTATGTCTTTCTGGTTATTAAACCATTTAAACATTTTAATCTACTTATAATTTGTTATTTCCATATACAGGACTCACACTGCACAGTGAAGAAGTAGGTGCAGCTGTTGCAGCATGGCCAGTTGGACTTTATGGGCTTGTATGAACTAAAATTTATAAAATTTCCATCAAAGTTATAGGTTCATTCTGTTCACTCTCCCTTTTTAAATAACTATAGGAAATTAGACTAATTTAAAATTTTTGAAATCATCAAAGGCTTATATTTTGTTGCTGACTACCCTTTTTTAAAAATCATCCTGCATTTTAACCTACAACCTCAATAGTTTGTAATAGGTCTGGTTTTATAAAAGGACCATGCAACATGTTTCATTCATTGATGTGCTATTATATTATCTTTGCACATGTATCCAGCCAAGCTTTGTTATTTTCTCTATGTTCATTTCAACCTGTCACCAAGTTGAACTTCAACAACATATAAGAATAACTACCTTTTTTCATTTTTTATCTTTCTCCAAATCTGAAAACTGATTAAGAAACTAAGCTCTCTAAAACAAGGATTGGAAATGAAGGTAAACTTTTTAACTCTATTGACATTTGGAATCTGACATTACCTCTTCAATGCTATAACTACATGTTTGCCTCCTTTTCTTTTCAGCTACTAGATTGGATTCAGCACAAGTTTCACCAGAATAACAATGAGCACCTAATACAGGAATTTGCTCCAAGTAAGTCATGCATCTTCAACTCTCACATGTTTATGTTTTATAACCATATCATTATACACATTCTTTATTAATGAACAAGAAACTCATGTGCGTTTCTTACGAATTTACAATACTATCCTAAATCACTGTACTGTTACTCCAAGGCTCAAAGCAATAATAAACAAAGAGAGAAGCATTTTCATAAATCATTTGCATGCATAGAGACTGCTACATCAGACTAAGAGGAACCATCTGGTGAAGTACTCTTCCATGGATTCCTGGCAATTGGGACTCTTGCTATTACTGAACCAGAAACACCAACATTTGCCACCTCTGTTGAGAATATTACATGGAAAGAAACTGAAGCAACTGAGAATGAACTGAACCTTATCAATGGTGAGTTAGAAAAGGTGCTAAGAACCGAAGGAAAGGAAGAAGAAGAAAATGAAGATGGAACAGTTGTTTGTCCACTACAGACATATCTGTTAAGTTCGGTAATTGGATTGCCTGGAACAACGGGAAAGAAAGAACATCGAGCATCACTTGGAGAGCTCTTTTAGAGAACTAAAATGGAAGAAAAAGAAACTACTGGACCTAAAAACAATGATGGAGAAAAGAGAAAGGAGAAATTTTTTGTCCATTTGATGAAAGAGATACTAAAAGGAAGAACCCTTTATCCTGGTTCGCTTGATAAAAAACCAAAACCAGGCAAGGTATGTACATTAATCTATTGTTTTAGTAAAAAGTGTTAAATGATTAGTTGAGTATATATCCTTGCATATTTTTTTTAATGTGGGTGGGGCTTTTTACGACTCCAACGAATGTTCCATAGGAAAGTTCACCCTGAAACTGTTGCACCTAAGTCTGACCATCTCACATTATTTCCTCTGGTGGATACTTCTGTTTATGGTAGTGGGTTTCAATAGGTGAGTCAAAAACTCAAAATGTGGTGCTTTTAGAATCTCTAGCTATTGTGGTTTCTTGATGGATTTATGGACCTTTGTAGGTTGAAAGTTGAGCACATAGGCGTGGTCAAAGTAAAGTAGTCAATGTTTATATATTTTGTGCCAAGGTGAGATACATTACTTACTCGTCTATCCATTTAGTTTTTGGTCCACTTATGATTAAGTGTTTTGAACTATCAATGACTATTTTTTATTTTTATTTCAGAACACTCCAGATTAGTCTCACTGGAGAAAATTGAATAGAAGTCTGCATCGTACTTCATCTAGTATAGATGGGAAGTATGATTCATTGAAGGAGATCATGGTATGGTATCTTTTCTTTATTATATCTTTTCTTTATCATCTAGTATACATTTTCTTTTATATAGAATAAATTTTTTGAGTTAATACACACTCTATATTCTCATAATTGCAGTTTCTTGAGAAAAAGGGGGGAAAGATGGATGCGTTGGATGACTTTGGGAGTTAATACACACTTTATATTGATGGTTGGCTAAATACATGTGAAGAAAAAATTGACACCTTATCTTCCTCTATTTCAGAACAGAACTGATACTAGATGCAATCCGTGAAATTGAGGAAGAAGATAGAGAAGCTGTGATATTAGTTCTAGACTTTGACATCCAGGTAATCTATTTTCTATGAAAAATACATGAATGCCCTTCTCATGTTTATGTTTGTCTGTTTTGTTTTGATAACATGTGATTGGGTTGCAGATGCTACCATGGGAAAATCTACCAATACTAAGAAACCATGAGGTGTATCGCATGCCTTTTGTTTCAAGTATTTCTTAGACATTTGATAGATGTTGTGAACATCAAGAAAAGTCTACATTCTTTCCTATGATTGATCCACTGGATGCATACTATTTGCTCAATCCAGGTGGCGACCTTCCTAGCACACAAGCTGCATTCTTTCCAACATTCTTTATATATGAACCAAAGGTTGCATCTAGGGTCATTGCCATGTGGAACATATGTGGATGATGTTGTATGTTTATGCTGACGGTTGATAAACACATTTTCGATCCCCATTTTATTTGTAACATCGGATATATAAGCAACAATAATTTACTGCAAAGAATGGGCCCCTTATCTAATTATTATTATTATTATTATTATTATTATTATTATTATAATTATTATTATTATTATTATTATTATTATTATTATTATTATTATTATTATACTGTCAACAATTACTATTTTCTTAAGCATGTTTTTATTTTCTTTCTAAATGACAGGTCACCATGCTCCCGAAGAAACCTATAGATGGAGCTCATGAGATACAAAGTTACTGCCTTGGCCATACAGAGTGAGTGAGTTACTAGAAACGCCATAGTTGATTGCTCAATAAGTTTGACATGGTTTATAAACTTTGACATGATGTGTCTATTATTGTTAAAATTATACTCTTGTCATTTAATTAGTAGTGATGGTGGGCCACCTAGGTGGTTTTGCCCTGTTGCCTATAACAGGCCTCTAAAAGATTCTCATGTTCATATGTATTTGCCTGGTAATTTGTGTTTGGTTATAAAATTACACAAATTACCATTTTACCCCTGCACGATATGTTTATATTTACTTAATAATTGGATGTGATACTTTGTGTTGGGTTTTGACATTCTTTCTTATAAAAGTTTGTTTTATAGAATCTTTAATAGGAGTATGTAAATCTTTACTTAAAATTTTGGTGTCTTGGGACTTCCTGCGGATTATATTCAACATTTCAGCTTGTTACCAGGTAATTAATTAACTGTCTCTATCTACATGCTCTTTCACTTCACCATTGTATCTATTTTTCTTTAGTAAAAAAATATTAGGTAAAATCATGGTGTGTTGTTATGAAACAAATAGGCAGGACAGACATACGGATGAAATTGGAAATCGCACAAGATACAGAGCTTGTGGAGCCGCTAGATGAAGCTTGTAGATGGCGCCAAACAAGAGGCACCGCCACTGAAACTTTAGGAGCAGAGAAGGTTCAATTACAATTTACAAATCTACCCTTCTGTTTTCTTAAATATTTTATTAATCCAAAATCATCATATCTGTGAAACTTAACAGCAATTGTTGGTCTTCCTCTTGGTGATCCATCAATGAAGTGGCAAACTTGCATCATGTAATAACATTCTAGGCAAAGATGTAGGTATATGTTTTTTAATGAATAATGTAATCATATGTATGAATATGAAATAAAGTTTGTTATTTAGTATGTGATAATCATGGATAGGGAGAAAACAATTTTTATTGATTTGTTTTATCTTTTCATGGATCAACTATTTGTATGATATTAAATTTTATGCAATGGATTGTATTTTTTGTATATTGTAATTTATTTATTTTGTTAGGAGAGATTAAATGCAAATTTAATTTGAAAATTAGTAAATCTATAAATAATATTTTTTTAAACATTTAAAATTACGATACGCAAAAATGTGTGTCATCTTCATTTATGACATGGCCTTTCTTGACAGGGGCTTCCTTGATACGCATTGCGTGTCATAAACACGCGCGTCGTAAGGTTACGACACGCAAATGCGTGTCGTCTTCCTTTATGACAGGGCTTTCCTTGATACGCATTGCGTGTCATAACCGCACGTCGTAAATGCGCGTCATAAATGCACGTCGTCTCTCTTTATGACATGGCCTTCCTTGACGCGCATTTGCGCGTCGTCTGAGCGTTTTACGACGCGCAATGAGCATCGTAAAAGGCTGTTTTTCTAGTAGTGAGGATTCTAAGAGTATGACTACGATATTAGAACTAGCATGTAAACGTTTCGGAGTCTATAGTGAATAAAGATCTAAATTCATCCTATTCGGTGTATAGATCAAGATGGAAAGAACCCGCAGTGGAGCTTGGAATGAAAATGGGAATAGGAATCAACCCCCAATACTTGATCAAGTACCTGTTGCAGGAGCTGCACCTGAGCCAATGACGATGGCTGGGGTACAAGCAATGATGCAGATGATGTTGGATCGCCAAATGGATGAGACAAGGTGATTACTACAACAAAATAGGGAAGAAACTACGATACCTGTTGAACAACCTTATTTGAATGAAGGGCAATCAGTAGGAGGGAACTACAGTGGGACTATTGGTCAAGCCAACCCACCGATAGTTAGACGAAACTACCAGGATGTAGGAGGTGATGGACGTGGATGCAAACACAAAGATTTCATGGCATCCAAACCACCGTGTCTATCTGGAAGTCCAACACCGGTGGAAGTTATAAACTGGATCTCCGAAATGGAGACAATGTTTGAAAGTTTTGAGTGCAGCAACAAACAGAAGACCACACTTGCAATTCCTCTGTTAAAATCTGGTGTATTTAGCTAGTGGAAGTTACTAGCCAATTCGATGCCAAAGGGAGAAGCTAGCAAGATGTCTTGGAAAGATTTTGTGGTACAACTGAAATTGCAATATTGCTCTGAGCAGGATCTTCTGGAAATCAATAATGAGCTTCAGAATTTGAAGAAAGGAAAAATAAGCGTTACTGAATACGCTGCTAGTTTCAAAGAAAAGATGAAGCTTATTCCATACTTAGTTCCAACTGAACTCTCTAAGGTCAATAAGTTTGCACATGGTTTACCAGCGGATTTTGGTCTAATGGTTAAGCAAGCAACCACATTGAAAGCTTCCATCTGGGCTGCTAAGAATGTTGAGACCCAGATCAGGGAGAAGGGTTTGGAGAGGATAGATGTTAGTAAGAAGAGGAAGTTTGAGGGACCTTCAAGGCCCAACAAGAAAACTAATTTCTCGAAGTCTGGTTCGAGAGGAGGAGGAGAAGAAAAATGGTGCGACAAGTGTAAGAAGAAGCGTGTTGGGAAATGTGGCGAAGAGGTTACATGTTTTAAATGTGGAAAGCCTGGTCATTATCCCAATGAATGCACCCTCATCAAGAAAGTTTGCTATGGGTGTGGTGAGGAAGGGCACATCTCAAGGGACTGCTCAAAGAAGAAAGGGGAAGCAAGGCCCAATCTCCCACCAAAGCCAAAAGCCAGAGCCTTCCAAATGACACTAGAAGCTGCGAAAGAGGAAGTGGATGTCGCTTCAAGTACTTTTTTTTTGTAAACGAATTGCCTACCCAAATTTTGTTTGATTCTGGAGCTAACTACTCCTTTATTTCGCATGAATTTGGTAGAAAACTAGCTTTTCCTGTTGATAGACTAGATAATTCTTTAATGGTCGAGGTTACTAGTGGCAAGTTTATACCTGTTAACTATCGCATGAAAAACATCTTCATAGACTTGAATGGGAATAAGTTCCACGAGGAATTATTGCCTATTGAGTTAAATGGTTTTGACATCGTGCTGGGAATGGATTGGCTAAGCGCCAATGATGCCGAAATATTGTGCAGGAATAAGATAGTAAAAGTAAACCCACAAGCGAAAGAGTCATTTATGGTGTATGGGGACAAACGCCGAGTGAGTTCTGGAATCATCTCCACAATGAAAGCCAGAAAGTGTTTGACCAAGGGATGTACATCATATCTAGCATTTGTGATCGATGCTAAAAAGGAAAAGAAAGAGGTGCAGAAGATACCAGTAGTGTGTGACTTTCTGGAAGTCTTTCCCGAAGATCTTCCCGGATTACCCCCTGATACACAAGTAGAGTTTAGAATAGACTTGTTACCAGGAACAATACTAATAGCAAAAGCACCATACCGATTAGCACCAACGGAGATGAAGGAGCTTATGACACAACTTCAGGAGTTATTGGACAAAGGTTTCATTAGACCTAGTTCATCGCCCTGGGAGCTCCGGTGTTATTCGTAAAGAAGAAGGATGGGAGCATGAGAATGTGCATCGATTACAGAGAGCTGAATAAAACCACAATAAAGAACAAGTACCCGTTGCCGAGGATCGATGACCTATTTGACCAGTTGCAAGGTTCGAGCTATTTCTCAAGGATCGATCTTAGGTCCGGATATCATCAGCTAAAAGTGAGAGAGCAGGATATTGAGAAGACGACTTTCAGAACAAGATATGGCAACTACAAGTTCTTATTTATGTCATTTGGACTAACCAATGCTCCAGCATTGATATGTGCATAATTAGTTAATTATTTAGCATATATTTTTAGTTATTTTTAATTAATTATGTGAATAATGTGGACAAAAGGTACTTAAAATGTTGTGAATTTTGTTTTCAGTCCAGAAGATATGCTTGGCAGTAAAAGGGAGCAAGGGGAAGTAATTAAAGATCAAAGAGTGAAAAAGACCATCTACTCGGCGAGTAGACGACTCTACTCGGCGAGTACACGAGTATGTTCCAGAAGATAGCTATGACTCCTGATTCAAGACAGATAACTATGGACCTACTCGGCGAGTTGGTTCTGCTACTCGCCGAGTACACCCTGTTTTGGGATATCTATATAAGACGAATCCTTATCTTATGGGACGACATTCCTGGCGATTTTTGAAGGTTAAGTTGCGACTAAGAGCCCCAGAAGACGCTAAGGAACCCTAAGCTTCAATCTTTTGAAGAATTCAAGCAACTAGGTTAATTCTACTACTTAGATTTAGGAATTGAACATGTTTGCTTTAGTAAACCTTGTTTTTATGTTTGTTTCTACTGCAATTATGAACTAAATTCGTTTTTGTTTCTGTTTGGGGAATACCAAGGAACTCTTATGGTTAAATTATTAATTTTTGCTTAATTTTCTATTGGTGATTTATTAAATTAAGTTTGTTAAAGAACCTTATGTATTAATCACTACTATTTTCTGTTAATTGGAAGGCAATTAGGTTGCATGAACATCTCTTAATTGTTAACCTCATATGTCTATGTGAACACTAAACCATATGCTTAGAAGTAATGATTATGAAACTAAGATTAATAAGAAAATAGGAAGATTAATGTGTGAGCATGTTTGAGAAACCATCAAACAAGAGGTTAATTGAATTAATAACTTAATTGACCATTACAAATCTTATTTAATCCAAATCATTAATCTAGGGAATTAATTAGTTTAAACACTTGATCAATGGTTAAATTAGTTAATTGTCTAAGGGTTAGGAGTAATGAACATGAACCTAACCATTATAATTGGTAACCAATAACAATTAATCTACCATAAATACAAATAACCATAGGAGTGAATTGGTTGAACCTAAATAGAAACATCTTTATCAAATTTGGTGAATAGTTGTTGCTTTAGCTAATTAGTTAATTTAGTTTGTCTAAGTTTCTAGTCTTGCAAAACTAGAGAAAAACCCTTTACTTTTATGATTTGTTTTAGTTAAAATTAGTTATTAGTTTAATTTTCCATTCCCTGAGTTCGACACCTTACTTACTAATCTATACCACCAAAAGATAGATTCACTGCCTTTGTGTGTTCAATTTATTAATTTAAAGTAGGGATAAAACAAGTGCATTTCACACACATCAAGCAGCCTTCATGGATTTGATCAATAGGGTTGTAAACCATTCCTTGATAAATCCGTGATAATGTTCATAGATGACATTCTGATTTACTCGAAAAGCTAGAAGGAGCATGGTAAACACTTGCGAGAAATGTTAGAAGTATTAAAAAAGGAGCAACTGTATGCTAAGTTCTCCAAATGTGATTTTTGGATCCAGGAAGTCCAATTCTTGGGTCATGTGGTCAACCAAGATGGAATAATCGTTGATCCAGCAAAAGTTGAAGTTGTAATGAAGTGGGAACAACCAAAAAGTCCCACAGAGATTCGAAGCTTTTTGGGATTAGCTGGATATTACATAAGCTTTATCCAAGGCTTTTCATCGATAGCTGCTCCATTGATAGCTTTGACGCACAAAGGAGCTACTTATACTTGGAGTGAAAAGCATAAGGAAGCCTTTGAGAAGTTAAAGAAGAAATTATGTGAAGCACCAATTCTTTCTTTTCTAGAAGGAGTTAAAGACTTTGCAATTTATAGTGATGCATCTAGAGTTGGGTTAGGTTATGTTCTGACCCAGTGGGATAAGGTGATAGCATATGCATCAAGACAACTGAAAGAGCACGAAAAGAACTACCCCACTCATGATTTGGAGTTGGTAGCGGTAGTATTCGCCCTAAAGATATGGAGGCATTATCTTTATGGCACAAAGTGCAAAATTTTCACTGATCATAAGAGTTT